TTCTTTCTTTGTTCAAGTCTTAGTGTTGACCTTTCTTGGCTCCCACTCAGATTGACACACCTAGACGATTCTGGTTTGTCAATTTGTTCTGCACTGTCTTGTTCCTGTGTCTCATAAAGAGAAACAGTACAGTCAATATCTCCTCTATTAGGAAATTTAGTCTCAATGAATGTGGCATCTCTTGATTCCATTTCAGTCTCTGTTCCATCTTCGTTTTCACCTATGAAAACGTATCCTTTAGATTGTTTAGAGTAGCTTATAAAGATACACTTCTTTCCTCTAGGACCCAATTTCCCATGCTTGTGGGAATCATCATGAACATATGCCGCTGACCCCCAGGGTCTTAGGACACTTAGATCCGGTTTGCGTTTTGTCCATAATTCATAGGGTGTGGAAGCGACTGATTTTGAGGGTACACGGTTAAGTATAAAGGTTGCCGTTAATAAAGCATCACCCCAATATGAAATTGGTAGGTTTGCTTGAGCCATCATAGACCTAACCATGTCTAGAAGAGTTCTGTTCCTCCTCTCAGCCACTCCATTCTGTTGTGGAGTGCCAAGGATAGTCAGTTGTCTAATTATCCCTTTTTCCTCACAGAGCTGTTTGAATTGATCAGATAAATATTCACGACCTCGATCAGTATGTAATGCTTTAATTTTACTATCCATTTGATTCTCTACCTCATTTATGTATCGTCTAAAGCATTCAAGAGCTTCAGACTTATGCGAGATCAAATAAACATGACCATATCGTGAAAAATCGTCAATGAAGGTAATAAAATACCAAGCTCCATGTCTCGCCCTCATATTCATTGGACCACAGATATCAGAATGGATTAATTGCAATGGATTTTCAGTTCTTGTTCCCTTACCGAAAGGTTTTCTAGTTGCCTTACCAGCTAGACAATTTTCACATAAAGACATCTCCATGTTAGGGATTGTGCCCAACATTCCTTCTTTTGCTAGTTTAATCATTCTATTTTGATTAATATGTCCTAGTCTAGCATGCCAGATATTCATATCAGGATTGCTTGAAGAAATAGCAAAACAATCATGAGCGTTAAAACCAAAAGCAAGATCCATAACAAAAAATTTCTGGAATCTGAATGCTAAACCATAAAGTTCTGAGTTGAGGAAAATGTCTGCAACTTTGCTATGAAAATTAACATTAAACCCAAAGTCTACTAAGCAAATAACAGAAATTAAATTCCGTCGGATGTCAGGGGCATGAAGCACATCATGGAGTATCAAGGTCTTTCCACCACGCAAAGCAAGTTTGCAGGTGCCAATGCCTCGAACCTCGATTTTCGTATTGTTCCCAACGTAAAGCCACTTGCTTTGATACAGCAACCGACGGTATTCCACGAAGGATCCCCGATCCCTGCTTACGTGGTCTGTGGAGCCTGAGTCTATAATCCAAGAAGAAGAAACAGGTTCTGTTAGAAAAACAGTACTAGAAACATATGAAACATGTGAATTCACAGAATTCACTAATACCTTTTCGCTTTCAGCCTGTTTGGAACAGTCACGTGCGAAATGGCCCATTTGTTGGCAGGTGAAGCATTTGACCTTCTTCAGGTTTAGCTTCTTCTTCCCGCCTTTCTTTCCCTTCTTCTTGAATTGTTTCTTGCCCTTTTTAAATTGAGGACCGCCCTTCTTCCCTTTCTTTTGGGGCTTCTTGCCCTTTTTGAAATTGGGCTTAGATTGGGAAGTATCAGCATCCTCAGTCAAATAGGTCTGTCTAGAGCTCTTGTAAGCCTCTAGACGTTCATCTTCCAGCTCCAGATGCTTAGCTACATCATTAAAAGTGATGATGTTTTCATTGTGGGTTAGGTTGACTTTCATGTGCTCCCAACTTGCAGGGAGTGACCTGATGACAGCCTGCACTTGTTACTCATCAGACAGGTTATGTCCAGCTTCCTTCAGTTCCCGGATCATATTGGCCATCTCTCTCAGATGTTGCTTCATAGGATTGTTTGGCTTGAGCTTATAGGTATCGAACCCAAACTTATCCTTCAATGCTATCCACATGGCTTGTGCAGTTTTGTGCGACTCAAATTCGCACATGAGGTCGTCAGCCATGGAGCTCAAAAGTGTGATTCTTGCTATGCTATTCTTCTTTTTCCATGTTAGATATGCCTCTTGGTCTCTCTTGTGCTGGACCGTGTTGCCAGCTTCAGGTTCAACCATAGCAGTGGTGAGAGGCTCTATCGCATCCTGTTCTTTTAGGATATACTGGACCTTTTAGTGCTAGATGTCCCAGTTGTCCCCGTTAAGCTTTTCCCCTTTGTTCAATTCAGCAATTATGTTCTTGGTTGCCATTCTTAGTTCTGTGACAAATCTATCCCACATTAATCTATGTTCTCTTTAAAGAGAACCGAACCAAAGAACATTTCAGTTATATAGTATAATGAAGTATACAATGTAATGTGCCTATATTATCCTCGATCAGTAAATAATGAAATTACAAGATCTATGATCAGGAGAATACGTTTGTACCTCCCATCACACAGATACTAGTAATTATCATTATATTCTATCAAGAATACTATATAAGCACTTCAAAAATGTAACCTTTAGAAGTCTTATCTTCTAAAAGCTCCCACTTATAAAAGGCATACACATGATATTCACAAATAATCATACAACAATAATTCAAGTAATTTCATTAAATGAAATAGCATACTTAGTCTGTTTACAATGCATGAAACCACAAACTTAAGGCGAATACAAATATTACATCATTTGATATGAACATAAAAGTAATCAAGCATTGCTTTTCTTAGGCTTCTAAGCTTGCACGTTTTGTTCATAAAGGAGGACACTAGCTCTATGGCCCAAATCCAGTAAGACTTTCTTATGGGTTTGCCTTTAGGTCCGCCTCTAACTCTTATTGCTCTTATGTACTCCATTATGACTCTAAGGTAGAATTCAGTATTCTTCTTATCGGTCATATAATGGACATAGCTAGCTAGCACACCATTGATGCCTTTTATGTTTGTTAATTTAGCTGCATCTCTTTCAGCTATTCTCATAGCTAAAGCAAGGGTACAGGGTTGATCCACCTCTTCGCCTTCCTCTACTTCGGTTTTATTGGGAAGATCTAGTGAATCATTACAGACCAAATGAGATTCGGTACAGAGGGGTACAGTGAGAAATAAAGATTCTGACTCAGATCCAGAATCCATTAACTCCTCCAGGATTTCTTGAGGAACCTTTTCAGGGTCCTCTTCAGGATCCTCATCCTCTGGTTCATGTTCTGGAACTGCATTATCCATGTATAAGTATTCCAATGAACCATCTTGGATATTTTCAGTGCTACTAGAAGCCTTTTGCTTCATTTTCACCTAGAACAAAATAATTTAAATTATTTTGAATATTCTGGAATTTATTTCCACATGAAAAATACCAGAAAATACACTGAAAATACTCACAAATAGATCCTTAATTATCTCCAAAATTATCAAATTATATATCAAAATGAAGATCTTGATTTTAGGGATTTGTAAAGACAAACTGCACCTCAAATGGACCTTTCAAGCGCCTACACGCACCCCTAGAAGGAAAAATTAGGTAAAAATTGAAAAAAAAATTTCGCCCACTTGCCCTGTCAGCGCGTGTACTTCACGCGCCGCCATGCAGCCTGCCGCCGGCGACACGCGCCGTGCCTGCAGCCTCCACACGCCACCACCTGTCAGGTGGTGGTCCCCACGTGCCAAGGTAGGGTGCCACGTGGCAGAACGCGCCACGTGGCGCTGCTAGGTCAAAAAAAAGTTTTTTTTTTAAAGTATACGCCCCTTTTTTTTATGATTTTGGTCTGGGCTGGATCCTGCCTCCAGCCCAGTACACCCCCTTCCCTTTTTTTTTTTTTGTTTGGGCTGGATCCTACGTCCAGCCCAGTTCATGAGTTATATTTTTTGTTTTTCTTTTTAATAGGAGGGGCCAAAACGACGCCGTTTTGGCCCCTGGAGGTCTCCTTCAACCTCCAGCCGGGTTGCCTTGACCCGGCTTCTGCAACCGGGTCGGGTCCGACGGTTCTCTCCTCCGTATCTTCGCCGTCCGGTGTCTGTTTTTAGTGTACTTTATATCATTTTCTTCGTTTTTTCGAGTTCTACGCAATGGGATAAATTTTGAAACCTAAAAACTTGATTTTAAGCAAACTCAAAAATGAGAACCGTACGGCCAAAAGAATATACAGTATAAAACGATCTTCACGGAGGCAGAGAAGCAACCCAATATGTCTAAACATAAATATAAGACACAAAAACTATCATATTGAAAGTAAAATGGAGGATTTGCATAATATATTGAAGCAAATCGCAAGTTACTCAGACCGACAATCAGAAAAAAAATACTGATATGAAAACGCAGGCCACAGAATCAACAGGAAAAATTACATGCTCTGATACCAATGAAGTATTTCGGGCATACCTGAAGTCTGCAGTGAAGTCAGGTTGCCACGCGAAGGTCCAATCACGGTGATGGAGTCGGATCTGGGAGACACAGCAAATGCACCTGGTGGGGAGGATGATGAATAGAATGCCGAGAGAGGAGACAGGAGAGGAAGGAAAAACGTTAGGTCGCGAAACTAATCATCACAGAGTTACTAATAACGCCACGTTATTTTCAAATGTGAAAACTGCCTCATCTGTTTGTTAACCGTTCCCTCCCTTTTGCATAATATATGAAAAGGCGAAAATTACAGTTAAGGACCCATAATATTTTGCTACTCACACTAAGACTCCAAATGATAATGGGCTTGGGTCCAATCCACCAAGGGTGGACTGGCCCATTTTCTTACAGTAATTTTTCCGAGAATCGAGTTCTCCTTTTGTATCTCTGTCGCATTTCTATCTTTGTTGTCCTTCATTGCTTTTCTATTTGCCACGCTAATCTTCTATATTTTCCCTTTCTTTGCTTCTCACTGATCCCCAAAGCAACACTAACAACATCAACACCAATAGCACTGACAGCCGCAATACTTTTCCCTTCTAATAATTTCCATATTTCTCGGCGAGTTTATGCGGTTTGAGTTTTTGTGGCCTTTGTTGAATTAATCGTTTTTAGAAATAAACTGTTAGTTAATGATGGTAGAATTGGAGCAGGATTTCAATTTTTTTGAAGATTTATCGACGTGGTCGCATTTTGAGTCTGTAGTTTTGTAGTTTGATTTTACCTCTGATGAATTAATTTCTGCTCCATGTTGTGATTGTGGGAGTCGTGTAAGTAGTTATGATTCACTATTTTCTTTCTAGGTAGTATATATGGAATGAAATTGGTGAAAGCTATAGTGATAGAAACAAGATGCTTATTCAGCTTGAGCAAGAATGCCTTGATATTTACTGTCAACAGGTTAAACAAACAAGAAAGTACAAGGCTGACTTGTACCAGTCATTAAGTGATGCAGTAGCTGAAATCGCTAATATTATATCTAGCCTTGGGGAAGTGTGCCTCATTTTCACAGGTTTGTTGCTACTTTGTTTTATCTTGCTCTTTTAACTACAATAACGGTCAATGAACTCTTATACATGGTATTCACTGGTAGATTTAGTTCGTTTCTATTCTTGAAAATGAGGTAATTGAGTTGGGCAGTTGGCCTAGGGGAATTGAGTATTTACGTGCTGCAGGAGCCAGCAGGGGGTAGAGTAGACTTGTGCCAGCTCCCACGCCATGCTGATTGTTCTATGGCTCCTGCAGGCTGCGACACTCGTCATTTGTGCCTTCTGATTGATATCTAATTTTGTCTTTAACCTTCTAATTTTTTTTATCATCTTGCATTTGTTGTCTGTTTTGCTGATCACAGTCGAAACAATGGGAGAAATGAAAGCAGTGGCAAAAAATATGCATCAAGGGAAGGCAGAGATGGCTAGGCCCTCAGATGCTTTTATCACTGAAGTTCATAAACAAGTATACCTATTTCTTCCCTGCGACATTTTATCCTTGATGGCTACATAACAAACTCTTTTGATGGCTAAGCCTATGATCTTTCGTAGACACATGTGCAGAGTTTACTTTAAATATAAGAAAATGATTTCTCTGTAGGCACCAGCACCGTTTCCTGGTACAATAAAAGTGAATCAAACCATTTCTTCACTATGTGTGTTTGTGTATCTAAACACATTTCTTTTAGCTATCTTGATATGATTCTTTTCCCCAGAAAAGTACCATACAATACTTTGCTTTCCCTTTAAAGATATTCAAATTACCTATTTTATGTTTTTAAATAAAAAAATATTTCTATATTATTAATACAACTGATATTCAACGTACCTATTTCACTTCTTTCCACCGTGTACCAAGGTTTTCATACCTTAATTTGATTTGATCTAACAAATTACCATAATAATAATAGCTTGGTTATATTATGGCCATATTTTTGTTTTAACAATAGGAAGAAAGTAAAAAAATTACTGTATATTATAGACTAGGAAGAAAGTAAAAGAATTACTGTATATTATAGACTAATAGTTAAGTGAAAGACTATATACACTGAAAGGATTTTTAGGAGTACTCTTTGATAATCTCTTGAGGGTTTTCGAATGATGCTTCAAGACGGGTGTTTTATGAATGATGTCTGCGTATTAATTAAAATGGGATTTTCTTAATCTTTTTTTTTTTTGCAAATGAATCCATTATTTATTCAAAAATTGTTTGCTACTGAAAACATCAAAATTATTAACTACTAGCTGAATTTTGGTTCTTTCTTTCACCAGATGACGCATTGCACTCCACCAATACCCCAATTTATTTCAAACTTGCTTCATGTTAGTTCTGTTTAAAAACGTCTACATTTGACTCTGGTTGTGCATGTGTTAGATTCGCAGGAGTCATTGATTCTTTTTTTTTTCTTTTTTTGCATAGTAAGGATTTTAATTTTTATCAATAGTCAATTCAACAAAATTTTGTCCACATCCTAATGCTAACTATCTCTGTGTTCTGTTATTGATGTTTTTGTTGTGAATTATAAGTAGTGAGTTCTTTACCGTGTATCATGAAAAAGATAAAGTTATTTTTGGTGATTCTGTTTTAGAAGAAGAGCCAAGTCCTTTTGTAGGACAGTGGCAAGGTAATGCTGCCTCTTTCATGCAATACAATGAACATCGCAACCAAGAAACAGAATGAAAATGGGATTTTATGGGTCTTGAAGGCTTGGCTCTGAAGTTGGTTGAAGGTGATCAGAAAGCAAGGAATTGGTAGGGGAAGCTAATTCATTTAGTAATTTTATCTGGTAGATTCATTTATAGGACTTTGTTGTTGTAGTGTTCTCTTATTGTTAGTGTTGCATTGAATCAAGAACCTAAAAGAAGCATGGAAGCTGATATAGACACAAGGACATTGGCCAAATCTAAGGTGCTCAAGTTCTGTTTGAAATGTTGTATTGTTTCGATTCAAAGTGTTTGAACACGTGTGGATGTGACTTCCTTTTTAAAACTTCTCCTAGCATATTTCATACTTGATTATTCTTCTATAGCCATATGTTTTATGATTTTACCTCTAGGTGGGATCAGTACTTTGTGCGATCAACTTTCAAGAATTCATTTTGGAGTAGATGACAACAATCCTACTTCAGCAGAAATTTATTTTGGAGTGTATCACTAATAAGTTATAATGTTTACTTATTTATGACTTTATTTTGAGGCTTAATGTTGTACATGATATAATTGTTAAGGATTTGCAAGGTGAAGATCAACTGTAGACTCTTACATACTCTGCTATCTATCTGAAGGTCTTCTTTGCTCTCCATCTATCTGATTTGTGTGATTATGTTTTCCAAATTAAACTCTAGAACATGGTTAGATGTGCCTATGAGAAATTGAATATGGTTATCCAATTTTTCAGATTCTATCCATTTGAGTTTGGAAAAACGCATATGGTCAGGACCGAAGATAAACACCAAACCACTAAAAGTTCATATTGGGTTGAGGTTTGTGTTATAAGATGATTAATTTTTCAATAGTGCTACGGAGCAAGAAAAACTTGACATGTGAGACATTAAACGAGGGTGTTGTCTTTGTCCTGTAAAGGGTAAGCTTTCTTTGGCATTTGAAATGTAGGAGAGAAGACCGATCATTTTTATTTGTTCTGTAATATTTATATTTAACCGCTTTGAATTTTCTTTTCTAAAATAATTCAAGTCTTATTTTCCTTGCTGATAATATTTTGCCTTCTTTTGACTACGACAGTGAGTGCGTTAATTTTTTTTAATCAAGTTTAGGCTACAATGGAGAATGATATAACTCGCTAAAAAATCAATGCTAAGGAGGAAAGCTTTATTATTTTAAATGGATTATGTCGTTTCTTGTATAGTCAGCATTGACCCTGTTCTATTAACGCACATTGATGGACACGTGTTTGAGTCTGCATAGTTGAGCTTTTGCTAGATACCTGATTTGTGGTTTAAACAAGTGCTTGATATGCATGCCTACAAGGCACGACATAGAGAATATGCTTTGAAGGGTCATAAACATTTCTACTTCATGACCTCTCAGGCAGTGAGTTATGAATTTAACCTATGCATGCTGTCTTCAATTCTAATGGAATGAATTTTGTTGGTTTTACTGCTGTTGATCGAGTAGTTTCACTGGGTACAAAGATATATTTTTTGGATTTCATAAATATGATTTTTTAATTGTTCTGTGAGTTTTTTAACTTCTGCTTTTTATTTGAGTTTCTATATTATAAGTGACTGATACAAGTGCCAAATGAAACTTGGGGCGTTTTATTAAATTGTTATGTGCTATTACCGTCATGCAGTTTTCCTTTAAATTGTTATGCACAAGTACTTGTTGCAGAAAGTTGTTGATGTGTGTATTAGTTGTTATGTACCATTACCGTCATACAATTTTCTAGAAACTCATTCCTATTCAGATCTTTCATTAAATTACGATCTTCGTATACGCCACATATTTAGAACAATCATAGAAATTTATAGATTGTCCAAATCAAGGCCTCATTGTTCCATATTCCACAGTCCAGTTTCTCAAAGATTAAAATATTCTACATGAAAATGGCTCTGACTTTCAAACGTAGTGCTTAAATTTTTGTGATTAGTATGTCCACTTAAGGTCCATAGTATTATGTATATGCATCTTATTTTAGGAGTGATAGACAGTAGGATTTGTGTTGATTTCCTGCTATGATTTTGAAATTGTTTTCATTTAAAATACTTTTGTCATATTGTTGGTTCATTCTATGCTATATTATAAATTTTGTGCTATGATTTCAAAAATAAATAATCAGAACAAAGTGTTGTTGATTATTTACGAGGAAGCAGAGATGTTGTCATTGTTTGTGACTTCATTTTAATTTTTTAATTAAAAGGGTCAATTTGTCCGAATATTTATCTACTGTCAATAAGCAAGCAGATAATTATACTCATTCACACAGGCACCAAACATATCATTTCCTCCAAGTAGACTGCCTATTTTGCCTTCTCTTATATAGAACCTATTGTGCTTTTCCACCGATATTTCATTGAATTTTCAGAAAGTTATTATGCCAAATTTTATAAATGGACTAACGCATAATGCTGAATCTGTAACAATGACTACCTTTTGCCATACAAGGTTATCATGCTGTAAAATTCAATGAAAGATCTTCATTTTGAAATCATGTGTGACGCCGTTGCCTGTGATATGTTCATACCAATGAGTCAATATTCTATAGGATTATAATTATAAGGTTAAAAAATAAAAAAAGAAATATTGCCTGTTTCTTTTGTTCTTGCAGCTGTATAGGAAAATCTTAAGAGGTGGCTTCAATGTAGATATCAGGCTGAAGAAGCTAGGATCCCAGAGTCTTCAACATTTTTGTTAATACAAACCAATAAAGTCGAAAGAATTAGAGAATTTTTTGACTTAATCATCAGATAACCTCGAAGACCCATTCTGTAATTTTCTTTAGGGTACCCTAAAAGCAAACTTACATATGTTTTTGGTACATTTTTATTTTGTGATAATCATGCATATCTCCCTTAAATTTACAGCTGTGAAGTCAAGACATTTTTTCTGATGTTAGGTTATATTGATGAGAAACAAATCGTTAATTTATTGTTGGTATGCATCCAGAAAGCAATATAGTTTAAGTTCAATTCTCATTTGAACTTGTGTTTACTTATAATAGAGTATTTGTAACTAGAATGCTTGTGGTTATCAATCTCATTTTCATTGTGTTATAAGTCTCAACTTTTAAAAATAGATTCCTTAACAACAATGACAATTGAAAGAATTGTTCCCGGGACAAGTTACTCTGTCTGACTTTGCTGTATTAGTAGATGTTTTAAGGCTATTAACATTATAAGGGCAATAAAACTCTTTTTAGTTCGCCTACTCTGCCATGGAAAGCTCTAGCAAGGGTTTGGTATTCCTTATGAGCTTCATGTCATGCCCATTATAAACGCTATCAAATGATTTTGGCTTCCTTTTGGCATAGAGAGACACAACAGGTAGCTCTGAAAATGTTGGCTTGCGAAGTAGAAATAGCATAAATAAATGTTCAATTTGAATTTCTCATTTTTTATTGAACATGGCTAAAAAAAAATTTCTTCACTATATCTTGTCATTAAGCCAGTGTTTTCCTATCCTGATTCATTTATATTTACTTATTCTAGGTTTTTGTAGGGGTTTAATGGGTGACCATCAAAATCATAGAATTCTAATTGTTTTGGATCTTTTCTATCCCAACTTTGGTGGTGTGGAGAAACACATTTGTTATCTTTCACAACGCCCGCTTAAGTTAGGTCACAAGGTTATGGACAAAGTTGAATTTATGAGTTAAACATGTTCTTAGAATCTTCTAACCTTTGGCCATTGACATGGCTTTTTTATAAATGGTCTTTGCTGCTTGAGAGTGCAAGGAACCAAGGGGAAGTTTGAAGATTACTAACCTTTATTCTCATTATGGAAGCTAGAAAGAAAGATGTAGCACCATGCAGAATTTGCCAGAGATTTTTGCTAATATAAAAGTGTGTAGAAAGAAGACTAATTGCAGACGAAAGGAATAGGTTAGTATATTGCATTGGTATATGCTGTATTATAGGTGGTTTACTTTTTTTGGATTTGTATTAGTTTGTAGCTTGGTCTATATGCTTTCTGTTCAATGTTTATTTGGATATTAGTGAGTGTAATAATTTTTTTTATATTAATAGAGTTGATTGTTTATGTGCAAAAAAACTGCTTCTTGAACCGAGTTCATGAACTTGGATGCCTCAATGTTCCTACCCGCTAGATTTTATTTTTTTATGTTAATATGGTCATGCTGTTGACTGTGTGATTTTGTATGCTCCGTTTCTATGACAATTTGGATAATATATGAGCAAGAAAGAAGCTGAATATAGAGAATTTGACTTCATTGTACATATCTTTTCATACTCTCAGTGATTTTCATTCCTAAATTATCTTTTTGCATTAGAGATTTCTCATTGATTTTGTACATATAACTCGAGGGATTTAAGAGAGCTCTTATTTTTTGTTGACTGAAGAAAATTTGCTTTCTTTACTTTTTTCAACCAACAAGAAAAGGAATGGATATTCAATGCGTATGCACTTTGCAGTCAATATTGGTCGGCCTGGATATTGAGTGACTAAGCAATTTGACCTAAGGACAGTAGTGACCAATTCACCAAAAACAGAAAACAGTAGCGACCTCTTTTTTCCCCCAGTTTTTCCATTGTATTATTTTTGTCTTAAATTTATTTCCCTTCTCGTTTGGATGTTGATGATTAGATGTCCTTAGAACAGTTAAAGGCAGAAAAAGATGATTCTCTGCAATTGGATCAACTAAAGCCATGAAGATTAACTCGAATTCCTCAAATTCTTTATAGGGTGAGTTATGCTACTAAAAATATAGAAATAATTGGTTTTTGTAACATTTTTAGATTAAAAATAAGATTCTATTACAAAGTATTTGTCCCTTTTGGAGTAGGAATGTGAGCTATTCTGCAGAAAATAATGCAGTCAGCAAGGCAGAAAAATGGGTTATGTTAAACTTTTCTGAAGGTTGTGATTATGAGAGATGGGGTTAAGCGTGGAGGACGGAAAGGAGTTGTGACCTGTGAGTTAACTCAATATTGTGCTCTTTTGCTTGAACAATCAGCATTTTTTCTTTTTCAAGTTTAATTGATAACCGACAGATATAATAGAAGCAGGTCCTCCCTCTTTGACGCCGATTAATGAAAGGCTACTATTTTTTTTTTTTTTTGTCTAGGCTAAAATAACTCTGTCCATGATTCCTGCAAATAATTTCTTCTGCTCATTGATTATGAAATCAATTCTACTGCTGGAGAGATGAAGGCTGGTCCCACAATTTTAATCAATAAATTTCTATTTTATGCAGATTTAAATTCCGTTATTAATTATGTGTCATTTCTCGCTCTACTATAGGCTAATTCCAGATGTCTTTTAGGGAGATTTTTGTAAGAATGAGAGCTTGCTCAAAATGACATGTGTTTTACTTCCTCTTAAGTATTTTAAAAGATAATTTTGGTCCAAAATATGAAATGCTGACAAAGTAATTAATGATAGCTTTAGAAAGAGTTTTAAATGCATGAGAGAGATAAGGGAATTTTTTTAATCACATTTTTTAATAAGAAAAAAATAGGTAACTTATATTAATTTAAAATATATTTAATAATTTAGCTAATTTTTTTTGCTTGTAAGAAATGCTTAACTAACATCCTAGGACAAGAGGGAGTAGATCTGTAATCACATTTATAAATCTAAATCTAAAATACAATATAAATGCATTATAAGGAGACTTTTATTTAGCACCATGATAATGTTCCCACATCATAGGTCCATGTCTATTTGTTTTAAGGAAATGATAAATCTTATTAAATTTAAAACTGATCAATAATATATATATTTTTATCACTTTCAAATTTGATATTTAAGCCACAGCTTTTTCACTTTTTTCAAGTGAAAATTACATAACATTTATTAAACATTTTAATTAGAGGCCAAGCGATATCTCTTACTTGATAGCTGGAGACTAATCTCAAGCATCATAAAGATCATTAAAGTGGATTTTGTCTCTAAAAATTTATTAAACTCAAATATACATAGCAATAAATATACTAAAATTTTAAAAAGTTAAAACTTCCTTCAATTTTCTTAATAAATGCTGTTATGTATAAAAATATATTTCTTACTGCAAATGTACACCATCTTATATATTAATAATTATTTCCAATATATGGAGAGAGAAAAAAGTTCACAACTATGCATGGTTGGAGTTTCTGACCTAAGTCATAGTATAAATTATATAAGTGCTCACAGATCGCAATTCAGGTCACATATCCAATTAATGAAAACAATTTTTAAACTTTAAAAACGGAGAAATATATCAGCATTTTAAAATAAGAAATATTTGCCACATATAATATGTTTATAATAAATTTATCACTGATTCCATCCATATAAAAAAAAAATAATAGCAAGTCAATATATAAATAATAGAATTTATTAGAAAAAACAAAAATCACATAGGTCAACACCAAGCATGCAAAAAGAATATATGTCAACTTTCTCACTTGGTTAAAATAGTTTCCAAACTTTTTGAATGTTGACCCATAGTTAAAAGACATCTAAAATTTTTAGAATAAGAAATATTTGTTGTATATGATGTGTTCTCTTTTTTTGCCCCCCCATGGCGTGCTCTAAAAGCATGCATGATGATGGGACACTTGTTGACTTTTTATCTAGAGAAAACAATTTCTCAACTTTTAAAGCGCAAAGCATTCTTAAAAGTTAAAATAAGACACACTCACATACTCATATGTTTTAAATAAGTTTATCATGTATCAAATAAATATATAGTAAACAAATTCATCATTTATGTAAATAAAAAATTAAAATGAATAGCAAGTCAATATATAAATAAAAAAATTTATTTAAAAAGTGAAATTCGCACGGGTTAACCGCAAGCATAAAAGAAAGACATGTTCAGTTTCTCACTTTGTAAAACCAATCATAGACTTTTTGAGTGTAGAACCATAATTAGAAAAACACTTACAACTCTTAAATTAAGAGTTATTTACTATATATAATATATTCAAAATAAATTCATCATTAACTTAATACATCAATTGTTAAAAAAAGTGAAATTTGCACGTTCAACAACATGCACAGAAAAAGAACATATATTCACTTTGTCACTTTATAAAAAAAATCATAGAGTTTTTAAATGTAGAGCCATATTTTGAAAAAAACTTGAAATTCTTAAAATAAGAAATATTTATTATATATGATATGTTTTAAATAAATTTATCATTAATTTCACATATCAACATAAAAAATAAAATCAATAGGACACTATATTATAAATAAGGAAAAATTAGATAGAATGACTAATAGGGCGTGATATTTATGAGGAAGGATCATAAAAATTAAAATTATTTAAAATGACCAAATATTCTAATACAAATATAACAATACCATATTGTCTCTATCCAAACCTCATATTTCTCCCATATACCTTCCTACATTTTATTTTTAAAACTAATAGAAATTAATAAATTTTACTAAATTAAACCTGATTTCTCTTAAAGTTTACAACTTTCTCCAAAATTAATTAAAAAAATATACAAACATTGTTCAGTGATGTCAAAATTAAATTTTTATTTTCTTTATAAAAATTAAAATTTTATTTTCAAAATGATTTTAACTGAAAATACAAGTTATATAATTTTATTAAAATTTATATTATTATATAATTTATTATATACACAATTTTAAAAAATAAAAAATTGTATAATTAACTTTTTGTTTTATGAGAAATTTATATCTGATTTAAAATAAAAAATTCATATAATGATAAGAAATTTAAAGAATTCAGATAATTATTATAATTTTATAAGACCCCCTCAAAACTATTTAACAAAAGCCACCTAATTATATGATATATTAATATGAATAAAATATAAGATACAAAAAAAAACTAACAAATATAAAAGAAATTGTATTTCACTTAAACGAACTACAAGGGAATATATCCCTAAAAAATAATTTTTTTGTAAAATAAACTAATTTTAAATATGTTAAAATTTCTACCTAATATTTTAGTAATTAGTGGATTAAGATATTAAAAAAGCATCATTTTCCCAAAAAAAAAAAAGGGAAAACATTATTATCGTTTGTTTATATTGTAATTTATTATAGGATTTATTGAAATTTCGTATTGACAATATTTTTTGGATTAGGATTAAGTATTGTCCCTTGAAAGCAATCATGGTTACATATTTTGCATAAAATTATAAAAGATTATCTGAATTCTTTAAATTTCTTAGTATTGCATGAATTTTTTTATTTCTAAATCAAATACAATATTTGTAAAATAAAAAAAAATTATACAAATTTTCTTTAAATTTTTTAAAATTATGTATATAATAAATTATATACTAAATATTTTAATAAAAATTTTGAAACTTTTATTTTTTAATTAAAATTTGTGATGGTTATAAAAAGAAAATCTTATTTTTATAAATAAAATCAACTTTATTTTTCACTTGACTGAACGATATTTGCATATTTTTTAATTGATTTTTACGTAACTTGTAAACTTTGAAAGAAATCAAGTTTGATTTAGTAAATTTTATTAATTCTTATTTGTTTTAAAAATAAAATGTAAGAAAAAATATAGGAAAAAATAAAAGAGATTTAGATAGGGACAATATGGTATTTTTAAATTTAGATTTAAATATTTCATCTTTTTAAATAATTTTAATTTTTATGATCCTCTCTTATAAATATCTCTCCTCATTGGTCCCTCTCTCTAATTCTCCCTATAAATAATGCAATTTATTTTAAAATTGAAAATCACATGGGTCCAAGCAAGTATAGTGGGCACATTTTCACGTTCCCACTTAAAAAAAATAATTCCTCAACTTTTACGGCGTATATTTGTTTATAGGGATACAATAAAAATTGTTAAAATATGAAATATTTGGTATATAAAATCAATAACAAGACAACATATAATAATTAAATTTATTAGGAAAATGAAAATGGCACAAATCTGAGAGCGAGCATCTCAAGAAGTCGCGTTCTTTTTCTCAGTTAGTAGAGATAGTTCCTCAACTTTTGAAGCACACGTTGATAATTAAAAAACTCTAAGCATTCTTAAAATAGGAAATATTTGCCCTATATAATATATTTTTCATAAATTTATTATGAATTTTGTACATCAATATAAAAATAAAATCAATAGCAAGTCAAGATGTAAATAATGCAATTTATTAAAAATTGAAAATACACAAATACAACCCGACTTGCATGTCTTGGAATAACAAATCGCTCACATGTTGATATATCCATGATTATATATTGTAATATTCATGTTACAAAGGGTTGCATAGATGATCAATTATTTACAAAGAGGTTTTTTGCAATGTTTTGGAATGAGTGACAAATATATTCATTACACGTGATAGTTGTGTTTTTTTTTTTTTGTAGTGTGATAGTTGTGTTTAACAAAACTTATTCGACTGTATATTTTACTAATTTGATCCTTGCATCGCACGGTTCATAAATGTTATTATTTATAAAATTAGAAAATTTGAATTTAAAATCATTCCATGCATTAATAATTATTTATATTTTAGAGTATAAAAAATTAGATGCACGGGAACCTATAATCTTGTCACATAACATAGGCAAATTAATTAGATTGTGTAATGGCATCAGCTCATTATCGGCTGCTTAGAAAAATATTTCATTGGAGTAGAGATCATTGTAGGGACACATTGGATTGCATGTATTGATTCTAAATTTGATCATTACGCCACCTAATACATCACTACCATTCACTCTGTGCAGAAGATAATATCTAATGATGCTATGTTTCGTTATGGCTATTAACAAGAGTCAATGTCAAAGCATGATAAATATTGGATTGTATTTGCCTTGCCCAGTTTTCACATATGAACAGCTATATGTGGCCATATCATGCGTGCGATATAGAGAAGGTCTTGGTCCTTGATGATAATAAAAGTTCTATAGGAAAAAACTTTTAATGTTGTCTAGGAATTTTTTTATAATCTACGAATTT